AAGTCGTACAAATCTTTGAATGCTTTTCATATCATAGGTGTTAAAACTTTAAAAATTTAAAATATTTTACCTAGAGGTCTTAGAGATTATGCCTGAAAGTCTTGTAAATTTTTTAATGCTCATCGTATTAGAAGTGTTGAAACTTTGAAAATTTTAAATATTTTACCTGGGGGTCTTAAAGATTATACTCAAAGGTCTTACAAATTTTTGAATGTTCCTCATATTATAGGCATTGAAACTTTAAAAATTTAAAATATTTTACCTAAAGGTCTTAGATATTATGCTCAGAGGTTTTACAAATCTTTGAGTGCTTTTTATATCAGAGGAATTGAAACTTTGAAAATTTAAAATATTTTGCTCAGAGGTTTTAGAGATTATGTTTGGAGGTCTTACAAATCTTTGAATGCTTATCGTATCAGAGGTGTTAAAACTTTAAAAATTTAAAATATTTTGTCAGGAGATCTTAGAGATTATGTCAAGAGGTTTTATAAATATTTGAATGCTTATCATATCAAAGGCATTATAACTTTGAAATTTAAAATGTTTTACTTGAAGGTCTTACAGATTAACTTAGGTGCCAACTTGACTAGGCTTAGTTTGATATGGGTGCCAGCTAGATTTGGCTTAGTGTGCCAACTCAAATGGTCTTAAAGATCATTTATACCAGCTAAACTGGGCTTAAATATCATCTGCATACTAGTTGATCTGGGTGCCAGCTGAACTAGGCTCAGGTGCTAGCTAATTTAAGCTTAAAGTGCTAGCTAATATGGGTTTAGGTGCAAGCTAATATGGGCTTAAAGTGCCAGCTACTCTAGGCTTAAAGTTTGATCTGAATGTCAGCTAGACTGGGCTTAAGTCTTATCTTATATCGTATCTCATCTTTTTCATTCATTTTTCAACAACACTCTGCTTTTTGCAAATCATTTTTCTTTCCATTCTTCAAACCTTTTTGACATTTTGGTGTTTTGTCAAACTATTTATTCTTTTTCTCATCTTTTTTATGATAGACTTCTTTTCTTGTTTTTAATCTTTTTTTTATTTTTTCTCTCTTTTCTTTTTTTCTTTTGTTTTCTAATATTTACAAAGTTGACAAACACACTCATGATATAAATGTCTATTTCCACAAAATGATGCAAATGTAAGAATGAGAAGGCTTGATGCAAATATAGGTGACTTTTTTCACAAAGCAAATGCCAATGTTCATTTCATGTAAATATCCCTACAAATACTTTTTCTATGATGCAAAAGCATATATCTACAGAATACAAATCAAATGTCTTTTTCATGATGCACATGCAAGTGATGCAAAAGCAAATGTCTTTTTCATGATGTAAATATGAATGAAAATATCTTCCTCCTTATGCATATGTAAGTGCAAATGTAAGTGATGCAAACACGAATGTCTTTTTTATTTTTGCAACATGCTGGTCAAATGTCTTTCTTATTATACAAATGTAAATGCCTTGGTTATGATGTAGATAATGTAAATACGAATGTTTTTTTTTGTTTTACAACATGCAGGTCAAATATCTTTCTTATTATGTAAATGTTAGTACGAATACGAATGACACAAATGTGAATGTCTTTTTTAAAAAAAAATTTGTAGCATGTAGATCAAATGTTTTTCTCATAATGCAAATGTGAACACAAGTGACATGAATGTGAAGACTCTTTTTGTTTTTTTAACATACAGATTAAATGTCTTTTTGATGATGCACATGTAATTGATGCAAATGCGATTTTTTTTTGTAGCATGTAGGTCAAATGTCTTTTACAAATGATGCAAATGCGAAGACTCCTTTTGTTTCATTTTTTTGAAAGATCTTTGTTCAAATTTTTACTGTTTACTTTTCACCAATAATGATCTCAGTATTCTATACAAAATGCTCAAATAATCTTTGAACTTTTCAAAAAAGATCACAAAATTACCCAACATAAAGTATTTTCGTAATCAATGAGCAAAGTTGAAAACTCATGACTTTTGAATCTTTTGAAAATTGATGCTTATTGTTTGGAATGCTTGGGGATAGGGGTAATCAACCATTCAATTCTTTTTACTAGTGGACATATCTCAAAGAAGGTTTGATGATGGTTAAAAGGATTACTCTTGGGCTTAGAAAAGAGATCATTTTTCTAAAACACTTTTCTTTTATTAAAAATATGATACTTCAATATGTGTTAAAACTAGCCATTATTTTTTGAAAAAGATTTAGGAAGAGAAAAAGGCTAGTTTTTTATTTCATTCTTTGGTGAAATATGAGGCTTTTAATAGGTATTGATCCTTTAAATGGTTTTGCATCTTGACTTTTCTTTTGGATAGAACTTTGGAACTCTAAAATTTTTTTGGGGTTTCAAGAGTGGCTTTAGCTCTAAATTACCAATTTTTGGTTTCACCTTAGAGTTATATTTTCTAGCAATGAAGAACTTGGCATAATCTTGCCAAATACTAATAGGTATATACAAATTTTCTAGGATATAGCTCTTCAATTCAAGTGTTCGCATTTTATTAGAATTGATTTTTCAAGGTATGTAATGTAGGCCAAGGTTTAAGGTTTTGAAAGAATGGATAGATAGGCTCAAAATATGTTATTCAGGTAATTAGGCCAAAGATCTTATGAAGCATTCTCTGGATAAAAAGCGATGTGTCTTTCTTTGCTTACTCCTTTGGAAACAACTGATTTCAGCTTTAGCATTCTTTTTCCTTTAATTTTGTTTTCTTTTACTTAAGATTCTAACTGATGCTTTATTTGCTTTTTTCCCTAAGCTCTCATTTTTGAAGAGCATGTCTTCTTTTATTTTTTTATTTTTTTAATTATTTTTTTCAAATATCTAACTTCAACTTCAGCATTTTTTTTCTTGAAGTTTTACTCAGGATTTTGACTAAAACTTTATTCATTTTTACCCCAAATTCTCGTGTACGAGTTA